CTGGGGTACCCCACTGCTCGCATCTCGCCAGGTTGAGTACAACCCGTCCACCCCTACTCTCTGGGTGCGCCCCCTCAGCCAATTTTTTACCCGTCCAACTGTGTAGGCATCAATGCCACAGTCACTTAATTGATTGATGAGGATGGGCTGAGAGACAGTGTCAAAGGCCTTCTTAAAGTCTAGAAAGACTACGTCCATGGTGACACCATCATCCAAGGATTTAGTCACCTGGTCATAAAAGGCAATCAGGTTGGTCAGGCAGGACCTTCCTTTGATGAACCCATGCTGATTACCCCTGAGCATGATCTCCCCTGCTGGCCCCCCACAGATGTGCTCCCTGATGATTTTCTCCAAGATCTTCCCAAGCACCAAGGTGAGGCTTACAGGCCTATAGTTACTTGGGTCCTCTTCCTCCCTTTCTTGAAAATTGGGACCACATTAGCCAGTTTCCAATCCCCTGTCACCTGGCCAGATGACCACGAATGCTCATACAGCCGGGCCAAGGGCTCCATGATGACTCCTGCCAGCTCCCTGAACACCCTTGGGTGGAGGGCATCTGGACCTGCAGATTTAAAAATGTCTAGCCCTTCCAGGAGATCCCTAACTACATCTGCGCTGACTGAAGGCCTGACAGAGCTATCCTTGAGATGGTCCCTACCTCTGGTGTCCCTACTTCTAGTGTTAGGGAGTTATTAGTTACTGTTAATAAAGATGGTTCTCCAGTTCTTCCTTGTGTGATATCTCAAGGACAAGAACCCCTCAGCTATACAAAAATATCCATTACTGAGAAACAGACTGGGGCAGCTGCCACACAACGGCAGCAGTGACTTCCAGCTGCTGGTGGTGGAGGCAGGATTGTATGGCTGTGGTGGCAGCTGTTTTTTGTTTGTTTGTTTGTTTTTCTGTGGCCCCTCTCCTCCCTCTGTCTTCTTTGACACCCAGGGTTGTTGCCCCAGTTGACCTGTCTTAGTTATGCCACTGAACATAGCAGTTTATACTAACATGACCATACTGCTTCCAGCTCCAGAGCTAAGGCATGCAAGTACCTCTGCATGGCACTTTGTTGCACTGCATAGACTCTAGTATGTGAGTGAGTGGCTTCACAACTACCTTAAGGTATCTCTATATGACACTGCATTGTACCATATAGACATGTCCCAAAACTGCCATGTTTGTGAAAATGTGGATATCTTAGATTAAAATAAAAATTTATTCAGAACTTACCTGTAAACACAGAGGGATGAGGGAAATTAACCACAATAAGCTTAGTCACCATTTCTGGGTAACAGATAGCAACCAACCAAGCGATCATTCCACCCCAGTCATGGCCAATCAACACACACTTGTTGTACCCTGGCGCAAAAACAGATTTGGACATTTTTACTGGCACTTATCTTCAGAAGAACTATCACATGAACTGAAATGACACATAATGATAAAATGTCCCAACATATTTGCTAACAATACTTCAAATTCTGCAGCTTTCTATTAAGAAATGATTCACACTACAACAGTTAAAACATCTGCACTTCTACTATTAAATGTAAAAATGAAGCCCAGTGTGCTAGTATGGTAAAAATATTTACAGATGATTAAAATCAGTTTTCCACTGCAGTTATACCTTGCTTGCATGCAGTATTTCTTCTTATTGTGTGGGTTAACTTCAGTGCTTTTCTGTATGTATGCATGTAACAGGAAACCCCTACCCTTGTTACTAGGAAGTGGGGAGTATATCTGGGGCAGGTTTCATAGATTCATAGACATTTGGGCTGGAAGGGACCTCGGAAGATCATTGAGTCCAGCCCCCACCGCCCAAAGGGCAGGAAGTCAGCTGGGGTCATAGGATCCCAGCAAGATAAGCATCCAATTTGCTCTTGAAGGTGTTCAATGTAGGTGCTTGAACCACCTCCAGTGGCAGGCCGTTCCAGACCTTGGGGGCTCGGACAGTAAAGAAATTCTTCCTTACATCCAGCCTGAAACAGTCTCACAGTAGTTTATGACCGTTCAACCTCGTCATCCCTTGGGGCGCTCTGGTGAACAAACGTTCCCCCAGAGAGCCTGACAGCAAAGGGACAACAGGTGTGAGCTGCCTATGTGAACTGAGCCACTGGGTGTAGAGGGCTACCCTGCTGATGTGGGAATCAGCACCACCGGAGCAATGGGAGTAGTGAACTGGATCAGATGACCAAAAGGTGGCTGGGCTGGGCTTGGGCTCTGGTTTTAGATGGGGCAATCTGAGCCTGCTTGTTACAGGGGAAGATGTTTTGAGTGGTAGTGATTGTAGTTTAAGTCAGACTGGCCCAGGTAAAGTACCTGGTAGACCAGGGGGTGGAAACAAGTCTACCTAAGTAGGAGGGCTTGAGGACCAGAGACCTGGAAAGATTTATATTTGAGTTAGAGCTGTTTAGGTTGCTGTTTTGAGTTTGACTGGAGATTTGGGTTGTGGCTATGGGTGAAGTTTTGAGGCCATTTGATAGGGTGCCAGGAACATTCTGTAGAACTAGATTTGCTCTGGGCAGGGATGCAAAGAGCTGAGGCCTAGGAGCAAAGGTCTGAGGCAGTGGATTAGGGCTGAGGGCTTGGCCAGAGAAAAATGGGCTGAGCCTGGGATGTCTGAAGACCCAGAAAGTGCTTTGCCTTGAAGGGGAAACATGGGGACCCCTCCTGAGCCTGAGTTTATGCAGAGAAGCTCAAGGACAGTGTCAGAAGGGAGAAGCTTCTCCCCTCAGGGACCTCCTGGGACTGCTTCCTCAGTAAAATAACAGGAATGGTAACACTGTGGCAAAAGAGACTAGAGGTGAAGGGGGACTAGTGAGTGCAACAGGTGGGTCAGACCTGGCGGGGGGAACAACAGGCACTGTGGGTGGACCCACAGCATTCTATAATGCAGTATAGCTAAATTACACACACTGTTCAAAATCTCAGCTGCAGAGGCAAATGTCTATTTCAATGTGTAGTCATGACAGAGTGTTCACTTAACTTTTTTTCCAGAATGCACAGTGACTTTAAAGTTTGAAATTAAACACTGCAGGCACAACGACTTTAAAGACCACCTTTTTTGTTCCAAATTAACCCTTATAAAATACTTTGAATATATGGGGTAGAATTCTATTACGCTTTACACACCTAAATGGCATTTACCAGCCATGTAAGTGGCACTTCTGCACTGTTTGTGATTCTATTACCAATAGAGTGTGGGTGCATAAGTGTCCACATGGCTATGCACACTCAGTAGGCTATGTACAAGCCAGGCAAGTACATGGCTCCACACATGCCTACATACCTGGGCACAGATTCCATCCTCCTGCCCTGCCTTTATCCCTGTGTTTAGGACACTCACTCAGGAAGCAGGAAAACAGGGTCCAGGTCTTCCCTCCCCCAGAGGGGTTGAACTTATGTCTTTCTGACATCTGAGAATAGTGCTTTATGTCATAAAGTAGGTGTTAATGAAGTCACTCCTCAGCTTTCCTTTCGAAGTGGAGCCACTGCACCTTGCATTTAGCAGTCCTTGAATAATATAGGTGGAAAGTAGTTGAAGCTTTTTGCTCCATTGCATGTAAGGATATAGGCTAGAAACCTGAGCTCCAGAGTAGCAGCACTCATTGAGCCTCACATCTAGTCTCGTTTCTTTCTTCTGGTCCCACATACCTCCCTTCCTTGGTTGCTCAGGGGAGTATGGGGGCTGGAGAAGGCATACTTCAATGACTTACCTGAGGTGTGGTACTTAGCACTGTGATGGGAGGGTAGAAAGAACTAGATTCAAGCCTGCTAGGTAAGGGGGACCTAAACTAGGGGTCTCCTTTTTCTTGGATGAGTACTTTAACAGCTCAGCTCTTGGGGCTAAAACATGAGGGCCTTTCTCTTCCCCTCCAACCAGTCATGGACTTTTGATGGGCAGAATTCTGTGACTAGTGCATCTATCAGTATACCTGCCTAGCAAGTGTATAATCAATTGAGCATGTGAGACAGCTGTATGCATGCTTACATGTCCACTAGGGGTGTATGAAGCAGGTCTTATTCGATTTGGATTCGGATTTGGCCTGAATCAGGGACACTGATTTGATTTGGATCACTGTCCCTGATTCAATTTGGCCGAATGCCAATCTGAGGATTTGATGCTGATTCAGAGAATCAGTGGTTTGGACATAGGCACAGCTTTAACATTTTCTATGTACCTTGAGGTACTAGGGCAGCTTGTGATGGCTGCGATATTCGGGCACAGGAGTCGTGGGGCGGGGGGGTTGGGGGGGGATCCTCCATGTGCTTGGCAGCAAACCAAGAAGTGGCTTTGGTCCACTTGCAGGTTTGCTGGGGAGTATGCCGGGGGGCCCCTGAGGGACAGCCACAGGGGGACCCTGGGTGCCCCCCCCCCCGACTCAGGAAGCACCAGTCACCGAGCCGGGGAGGGGGGTGGGGCCCAGCACGCTCCCTGGGATACAACTTCCGGGTTTGCTGCTGAGTGTGCTGGGGAGCTCCCTGCACTTTGTGGGACATTCCATGAGCCCCAGCATTGCAGCACTCACAAGCCTCTGCTACCTAGAGGTATGTAGAAAAAACATTTAAAGCTGTGTCTATGTCCGAATCTCCGAAACTTTCCGAATCTCTCCAAATCGATTCAGAGGGTTCCAATTTGAATCGGAGAGATTAGAGGGTCCTCTGATTCAATTCGGACATTTGGCCACTGAATCGGGCCAAATCTCCACCGAATCGAATCAGGGACCGAAGCTTCACACAGCCTTAATGTCCACACTGCACAGGTAATAGAACTGCTAACTGCATTCACGCCAAAAATGTGATATCATAAGGTTCTTAATGAAATTATGCTGCCATGGCATTACATTTAAGGTCTTCTTGTGGATGAGTAAGTGGCTAAGGGACAGGAAACAAAGAGTAGATATAAATGGCGAGTTCTCACAATAAAAAGAAGTAAGCAATTGTGCTGTTTAACACATTCTTCAATGATTTGGAAAGCGGGATGAATAGTGAGGTGGCCCAATTTTGCAGATGATACCAAATTAGTGTAGTAAAAAATCAAAACTGACTGTGAAGAATTGCAGAAGGATCTTACAGAATTGAGTGAATGGGCAATAAAATGGCAGATGAAGTTCAATGTTGATAAGTTCAAAGTAATGCAGGTGGGAAATAACTTGTGATGTGCACACATGATGATGGGCTTTACATTATCTGGTGCCACTCAAGAAAAATCTTAGAATTACTGTAGATAGTTCTATGAAAACATCAGCCCAGTGTTCAGCAGGTGTCAATTGGACAAACTGTTAGGAATTAAGAGAACTGAAAACAAAACAAAATGTCATTATGACACTGTATAAATCAGCGGTATGCCTACAAGGGGTGTAAGAAATGGGCCCTATTCAATTTGGAATTGGTCCGAAATCAGGGACAGTGATTCAGTTAATTGATTTGGATTGCTGTCCCTGATCCGATTTGGCCGCATCCAAATATGAAGATTTGATGCTGATTTGGAGAATCAGCAATTCGGCCATAGACACAGCTTTAAATGGGTTTTTTTTTTTCTACATATCTCCAGGTACCAGGTGTGGCTTGTGATCACTGCAATGCTGGGGTGGATAGAGCATCCCACAGGAGTGCAGGGGTGCCCCCCAGCTCAGCGATTGGACACAGGAGGACCCTGGGTGTCCCCCCCAAACCTGGAAGACACCAGTTGCTGAGCTGGGGAGGTGCAGAGGGCTCCCCAGCACACTACCCCGTAGACCTGGAAATGGACTGGAAGTGCTTCTGGTTCACTTCTGGGTCTGCTGCTGAGCATGCTGGGGAGCCCCTCGTGCCTCACTGGCTCAGCGACTGGTGTCTCCTGGGTCTGGTGGGGCACACAGGGTCTCCTTGCAGTCGATCGCCAAGCCAGGGGACCCCCCTGCACTCCTGTGGGATGCTCTATCTGCCCCAGCTTTGCAGCATTGATGAGCCACCTAGTACCTTGAGGTATGTAGAAGAAAAAACATTTAAAGCTGTATCTAAGTCCAAATTGCCAAATCTTTCTGTATTGATTCAGTAGGTTCCAGTTCGATTCGGAGACATTAAAGGGTCTCCTGATTCAATTCGGATTCAGAGATTTGGCCACCGAATTGGGCTGAACCAAATCAGCGACCAAAGCTTTGCAGAGCCCTAATGCCCACTTTGAATAATGCATGCAGTTCTGGTCCTCCTACCTCCAAAAGGGTATACCAGAACAGTAGCAGGCTGGCTGGCAAAGGCTTATAAGCAGACTGAACACTCCAGGCTGAAAGAATCTGCGGGCTTGCAGGGACTACAGTCAGCTGTAGGCAGTAAAGCTAATTACAGTCCTGCTCCTAGGACTGAGCCAGCTGTGAAAGACAAGGGGCTGGCCAAAAGAAATTAAAATGTTTCCAGGAAAGGAGTTGGAGAGACTGAGATAAGAGAGAGGAGGTGAAAGAACTGGAAGCAGTAAGATAAGAAAGCAAAAAGAGGAAGAGTGTCACTTTGGGAATCTATACACGTGCTCTAGGGTGGAGGGGAAGGTGCTTTAATTAGAGCAGCTTTGAGGGAGAAATCACTCCAAGGAAGAGAAGGAGGATTGTAGTACAGGAAGAAGGTAGCAGACAGCTGGAGGCACCTTCTCAGGGTCTGAGTTTACCTGTTGAGGACTGTGAGTGAACCCTGTGCGGACTGTGTTTAATGTTTGGGTACTGAATGGGTTTTATGCTGGTTTCCTGAGAGGCCAGTGGGCCCAGAAAAAACTCTCTGTATGGTTAAAGGACTATTTGAGCTAATTAAACCCAAATCCACTATAAAAGGTAGAAAAGGTACTCAGAAAGGCAACAGTGATGGCCAGATTTATGGAGAGGCTTCTATACAAGGCAAGACTAAAATAGACCAGTGCACCAAAGATAGCTGAAGGGGAACACTATAGTTTATAAAATAAGGAATGGTGTGGATATGGAAAGAAAATAAGGACATACTATTCATCTCTTACAATACTAGAGCTAGAGGATATGCAATAAAATTATTAGGGAGCAGCTTAAAAAAGTCTTTAATTTGTTTATCACCCAGTGTATAATTCCCTTGTGGAGCTTATTGCCACAAGATGTTGTAGAGGGTTGACAGCTTCAAAAGAGGATTAGAACAGTTCATGCAGGATAGGCCCATCAGTGGGTATTGAACATGATATCAGGACGGGAACCCTCAAGTTAGGAGTTTCTAGGCCTCTAATGCTAGCAGGTATAGGAGAAAAGGGACAGCTTAGTTGTGATAGGTTCTGCATAAGTACTTTTCCATTTAGAATTTGATCTGTGCCACTGTGAGACATGGAATACTGGGCTGGATGACCTATTGTCTGATGAGGAATAGCATCTTTTATATTCTTAGTAAATGAATTTGGATCTAAGTGTTGTCATCATCTGAAGAGTGGGGTCATACCTCCATTACAGCAGTTACTGCACACTTAAATGGGTGGGCTTGGAAGGCTTCTTCACATACTCATAATCTCTTTTTGAGTGGGGCTATCAAAAGCCAAAAAGGCGGCGTACGCCCGGTGGAAGGGGGGTGAAATCTCCAAAGAGGAGTATACCTCCTCTGCTCGGGCCTGTAGGCGAGCTGTTAGGAACGCCAAGGCGGACATAGAGCTCGGGCTAGCGTCCAAGATTAAGGATAACAAAAAGTCCTTTTTCAAATA